CCCTGAGACCACCATGAGGGAGGAATCACAAATAGTCTTGTGGTCAACAGGCCCAGCTGTGCTCCCAGCCAGCAGCTTACATCAAGTGCCAGATATGTGAGTGCATTATCCTTAACATCATGCCTAGTCCAGCCTTTGGATGACTTCAGCCCCAGGTGCCCTCTGATAGCAGCCTCATAAGAAACACCAAAATGAGTGCCTCCCATGAAGCCTAGTCAACTCACAAAACTGTAAAAGATTATAATTTTTTTTTTGTTTTAAGTCACTAAATGTTGGGATAGTTTGTTACTGAGCAACAGATTACTGAAACACAAAGGAACGAGTGCCCCTGTTGTATTTGGAGCTAGTAAGCTCCACTTTATATAGAAGATTTCCAAGGGAATTCCAATCATTGCTCTTCTTCCTATATTTTGTGTGATGGATCATTTTTCTCCTCCTCACATTCTCCCTGACAATGTTTTCCTTTAAGTGAAACATTTTTCTGTTCATTTTGCATACATCCATTTTAAAGATGGCAATATTTTATGACGTTCTGTAACATAGAATTACTGGAAGAGGGTTAACTGTCTTATTAGATAGACCCTACCACAGTCTAAAAGGATGGCGTCCATGGTAAGAAGGCCACCATAATGTCATGTACAGTGGTTTCAGTGGTAAATTGCACTCTAAATCTACTAGTGCTGCTATGGTTCCCAATGAACTGGAACAGTGCCCAATTTCTCCATCTGAAGCATCTGCTGAGAGTTTAATTTCTTTTTCTATTCCATTTTGATATGGAGCATCAACTCAGGCTGATTCAGTGTTCTCTCCTGAGATGAGATTTTCTACTTTAGGCATTAATTATTAAATGTTTTATTTTTTTTATCTCATTCATTAGACGTCAAAAATGAGTCTTAACGACTAAAATCATGGTGTTGGCAGGATTCCTTCCGGAGGCTCCAGGGAAGAATTCATTTCCTTGCCTTTCCCAGCTTCTAGGGGCTGCCTGCATTTCTTGGCTCATGGCCTCTTCCACCATCTTCAAAAACCATTACTCCAACCTCTACTGCTATCATCACACCTCCTTTCCTGACTTTACTACTTCCCCCCTCCTAAGGACACTTGTGATTACATTGGGCTCATCTGGATGAACCAGCATAATCTTCCCTTTTCAAGATCCTTAACTTAGTGACTTCTGCAAAGGTTCTGGTGACTAGTACATGAGCAACTTGGGGGCTGTTATTCAGCATATCACAGATACCCCAGCTAGACTAGAAGTCAGGCATTTAAGCAAATCCCCGTGGATACTTATGAGTTAGCAGGTGAAGAGAGGAGGAGAGGGTGTTCCAGGCAGAGTCTTGTAAGTAGGAAGATCTGGAGGTGAGGAAACCATGGTTTCTTTAGAAGAATGAAGTGTTGAATGTGGTTAGAGGGTAGATACATGAGAGAGGGGTAGGCTAGAGCCAGATCCTAAAGGGTTTTTTAAAACCATATTAAACAACTAAAGGATTTTAAGCATAGGAGTGACAATGATCCAGTTTGTGTTTTGGAGGAAATTTGATGTGTAGGAGCAAGATGGAGGCAAGAAACTGTGATAGTGAAGAGCCAGGATGGTATCACCTAATTCACAATAAGTCTGAAACCAAAATTCATTATTGCCCATCAAAACCAGCACATCTACCCAACTTCCCTATTGCTGGTAATGTCATCTGTACTCTTCTAAGATCTTTCATGGTGCTCAGTAGTTAATGATCTATCCACAACTGTCTTTGCTGAAAGGCAGCAGAATGACTTAGAAACTATTTTGTCATCTTTTATATAGTTTAGCTCACTTCGGCAAGGCTGCTGGCCAGCAAGGGAAAAAGTCACATCTGAAATGTGTAAGGAAAGAGATCTATTTAAGTAAAAGTATTGGAAAATAAAATAAAAATGGATTTCTTCTAATCTGCCTAGTGTTTTACCAGGCACATTTAACTAAAAGAATGAGAATCGACTCTAGATAAAAGGCACTGGTGATTATTTTTATTCATTTTTTCTTACCTGATGAAAGTGTATAGGGGATAAGGGATGCTCCAAGGGGGTCTGTGAACTAGCTTATAGGAGGCATTAGAAAATTGTACAGACTTAGGTGAATTCATCCCAACCCAGATGCTGGTCCTCCAAAGGCTCAGAAATTTCATTTAGTTGGTGTACAGAGAACAGATTAGACATAGGTTCAAACTAAACCAAACATAGAGAGTTCCATTGGCAGGACCAGGGCATCCACTCCCTGAAAGGGGAGAGCTCTGAGGTTAGCCAACTTCCAATCAGAAGTGTCGAGAAGGAAGTGAAATTCAAGCAAGAGGAAATAGTTGTATGTTTTGAGTGATTAATGTCATGAAACTTGCCAGGCTGAGGCCCCATAACTCAACATGGAACGTGTGCTACAGGGAAAAAATGGGTTACTTTCATTCTGTGGCCTGAGTGCTTTTCTTCTGGTCAGAGCCTGGCTGGGCATCATTGGCATCTAGCTCCTTAGATCTCCTTTGTCTATGTCCAGGCTCACTGTCTCCTCTTCCTTACCCCATGTTTCTCCAGAAGGACTATCATCACTTAGAATCCATCTTATTAAATTAAAATCACAGTCCAGTCCTGCCTCCTGGAGGAAACACTGTGATTTTCTTGATAAAGTTTTGGCTACTTCTAATCTCCTTGAAAACTCAGTTATAAATCTGTTCTTTCAGTCTTGGTACAGAGGAGCAGAAATCTATTTAGGGCTAATTTTGTTAATTAAAGTCTCCTGGGGCAATTTTATTTCTTTTATATCCTTGCCTGATTTCCCATCTTCGCTGTCACTTTCAGATACCACCTTCCTTTTATTCTCCTTATTGGACAGAGCCTTGGAGCTTTACAGGGCAGATTTGTACTTACAATCCAAGGCAAAGTTAATCATAAGCTTCGACTCATATTTTTGTGGCTCCCTACCCCTTGAATAACTTCGAATTACAATTCTACAGAATATTCACATATGACATTCTAAATCTGACATTTCAAATATAAAATGCATTCTGAGTGAACCTGTCTGTAACAGTAGCGTATTCATTTATTGAGTTACCAAATGGCTTTTCCATTTCAGTGTGAGACCAGATGAACCACAGAAGGGGTTGAAAATCCAGTTGTGTTTTTTATCTGAGGAGACCACAATTGATGATGATACAAAAACCAAACCATTAATCTTTCTGAAGAGCCCCTTTTGCCCTAACCTTGTTGCTTCCTGTTCATGTCAAGCTTGGGGCTCTCTGATCCCTGCTGCCTCTAGGACTTTGAAGATTTAGGAAAGGCCTTCAGTCAGTCTGGAAGTCTGTACTGACCAGGGCAGTTTTCTCAGTGGGGGCTAACTCTTGACCCCTTGGAAGAAGTTCAGTTCTTTTTTTTTATTTTAAAGATTTTATTTATTTATTCATGAGAGACCGAGAGAGAGAGAGAGAGAGAGGGAGAGAGAGAGAGAGGCAGGCAGAGACACAGGCAGAGGGAGAAGCAGGCTCCATGTAAGGAGCCTGATGTGGGGCCCAATCCCGAGACTTCAGGATCACACCCTGGGTGGAAGGCCGGCCCCAAACCGCTGAGCCACCCAGGGATCCCAAGAAGTTCAGTTCTGAGTCATTTCAGCCAAGTTATGGTTTGGTGTACAGTATATATAACAAACACCTGGGGACTTTGGAAAGTTGGACTCTGGACAAGGTCCTGTCCTTTCAGATCTCCTGAGATTTTTTTTAAAGATTTTTATTATTCATGAGACACACAGAGAGAGGCAGAGACCTAGGCAGAGGGAGAAGCAGGCTCCCTGGGGGAGCCTGATGTGAGACTCCATCCCAGGACCCCGGGATCATGCCCTGAGCCAAAGGCAGATGCTCAACCACTGAGCTACCTAGGTGTCCCCAGATCTCCTGAGATTTTGATGTGAGCCTAACCTTGTGGCAACTGGGAGGCCCCAGAGCAGGCTTTGGATATCTAGTTACACTTGGAAACCTGGCTAGAGCCAAGCAAACCAAGTGTAACTTGCACATGGACTATAGTTCATAGACCTGGGAGGGAAGCTGAGGGACAGTGTCAGGGCATGAGACCACAGGCTGAGTCTTCATTCTTAAGGGGGATATACAGAGAGAATCTACATAGCAAGCTAATGAAAGAATGTGCTTAAGAGTTAGGGTGAGGGACAGGCGTGATGAGCTGCTTATTTGGACAAGGAGCAGTTTCAGAATATCTATTTTGCGGTATATAATATATACCTAGAATAATTCACTAATATGTACATCATGAGATATAAATATTCACCTTGAGAATACATCATCCAATATGGTTGAAACTCCTATATTCTCTTTGATTGCATCTCTGAACTCCCTCATGAAATTCCTTGTGTTTATACTACATATATGCTGTCTTTCTGGATGAATTCTTCTGTAACTTCATTTTTTTTCATTCATTGCTGTTTGTGAGAAACATTCCAACTAATACATATAGCACTGATTCATATTGGTCTTGCCAGCAGTGCTTTTTATGCAGTGGTCCTAGTTGTGGGGGACAAAGGGATGGAATAGGAGGGAGCCAGTTAAGGGACAGTCCAAACTGTGTACACAGACAGGTCCCACAGTGGTAACCCAATTCACCCATGGGTCAGCTGCAAGGGTGGAAAGAGGACCTAGCCAGTAAAGGAAACAAATTATAATGGAAGAAGCTGAATTTGCACAGAGAATGTGGAATCAACTAAATATAAATGATATTTCATGGTAACAAACACAGTTATTAGTAGTTGCTTAGTAATTGCATATTAACTTAGTAGTTAGTAATTAGTTGCTTAGTAATTGCATGGTTACCTAGTAATTGCATATTACCTGATTAAAATGTTTAAGTGTGTCACTCTTTCAACAATTAGACACTATATATGCGTTATTCAGAAAATGGCCTAATTCGTTTTTCTAATTAATTTTCCCCTCCTTTGGTTTCTCTATATCCCCTGTGTTTTCTGGATTCTGTCCCAGCAGATCTGATTCCTGCTCTGTGGCATTCTGAAGAATCGACGTTCATCATTACTAGTGAAACTCAGCTGCCACCTGACGGGACAGCACAGCAAAGGCTTTGGCGATCTTTTTGAGTTAGAGCAATACGGACACTCTTGGAATATAATCCCAGTGATGTCTCTTTTCTGTGTAGCCCGGAAGAATACCTGACCACCATTGGCAAGTTCTTCTGAGACCTTATAAAAACTGCTCTGCCATTAAACAACTGAGGGACTCTGGGCTGTTCAGGAGGGCCTTAAGAACTGTGCATATTGAGTCACCTGGAAGATTGAACCACTGCTACTCAGAGCTGCTGCTGCAATACCATGTCTAAGAACTCGGAGTTGATCAATCTGTCATTTTTGTTAGATCATGAGAAGGAAATGATCCTGGGAGTCCTAAAGAGAGATGAATATTTGAAAAAAGTGGAAGACAAGAGAATAAGGTAATGTTCTTTTATCTTTTCTGCCCTTCCCAGCAGCTGTTTGAAGCATGTTAGAACAGAGAATAGGCAACTGCGACCGTGCTGGAGACATGTTGGTCAGTGACTTCAGGGGTTCTCAGCAGTAGCTCAGATATCAGAGAACATCTTTGATATTTTATCATTTAGCTAGATTCTATCCTCCCATCTAATTCTCTCCATGCCTTGGTTTCCTCATCCCTAAAACAAGGATAATAAAAGTGCCCACCTCATAGGGTTGTTGCAAGGGTTGAGGGAGATAATATACGTGCAGTGCCTGGTATGTAAGCTCACAATTATTTATTTATAATACCTTTCTCAGATCAGTCTTCCTGGGAATTCATTCCCATCGTAGCTGAGAGAAGGAGATCCGGAGAGTGAAAAAGTCTCATTTTCCAGAGACCACCTGGATTCCTAAAAATAAGTCTCTGTATGGGTAACATGAAATAATATGGGCACAGTTGAATTTCACATGAGTTGTAGGGAAGGTTGATATTTAGCTCGACTCCCAGGCATGACCTCACCTGTCTTTCAGCTAGCATCCATTCTGATTGGTCATGTCATCTCTTCTGAGCATTGTTCTGATTGGTCGTCACATCCTTTGGGATTGTTTGCTGCTTGTACTGTGTTGCTTGTTAAATATATTTGGCTATTACATCTCACCCCTGTCTACAGGAGTGGAAATAAAGAGTTCCCTTCTCAGCAACTACCTACTATTATGCAACAGGTAGCTTTTTTTTGTCTTATGTGTCTCCCAAAACTGCGATTTTTTTGACCATGGTGTTATGAAACTGGAAGTCAACCACAAGAAAAAATATTGAAAGGCCACAAAATTTTAAGTTTATTTTTTATTGAGGAAAAATCTTGTCATAAGATTATGTGTTGCAAAGATATTCAGCATGCCTAAAGGACCTAGGATCCTAGAATTGGAAATACATTGAAATAGTCTCAATTGATGCTTACTTCATAGTTAAGTGCCCAGAATTTTTATATCCATCATTTGTAGGTATTCAACCAATCTTAAAGAAATAGAGGCTTTGATGAAAATTATTGCAATTTTTCTATGCCTGGAATTCAGGTTAATGCAGTTCATGATTTTAAAGATATCAGAAATGATGTTTTGGGTATTTGTATTCTAGTCACAAGAAGTGACTCAATTGTCTAATGTGCTACAAAAAGTTATATTGTTAGCAAGAGGCAAGGTAGTAGCTAGTAACTGATGACATGCACGGGGGAATTAAAAATCACTCTATTTAGGAAAACACGATTTAATAACCAAATCCTCAGAAATGCAGAAGTGCAGTGAATAGGAATCTGTTCAGGATATTTGCTTCTGTCATTCCCAATAACTTTTCCTAATTATCCATTATACTACTTTTCCTTCTCCTCTTTCTTCCCTTGTCCTTTTTCCCTATTCTCTGTAAAGAAAAGTAGCTGAGTGTATAATATACAACAGAGCTATTGAGAATAAAGTTGTTGATTTCCTGGCTCTTCAAATTTGAGGAAAGCAGAAGAAAGGCTTTGATAGATCTATGTGATACCTTTATAGAAAATAGATTTTTTTTTTTATGGGTGCCTAGGTGGCTCAGTTGATTAAGCCTTTACCTTTGGCTCCAGTCATGATCCCGAGGTTCTGGGATCCAGCCCCACATGGGGCTCCCTGCTCAGTGGGGAGTCTGCTTCTCCCTCTCCCTCTGCCCCTTCCTTCCCCTGCTCTCTCTCTCTCTTTCTCTCTCTCTCTCTCTCTCTCAAATAAATAAATAAAATCTTTTTAAAAAAAGAAAATAGTTTTTTTAAAAGCTGCTATATCTTATTCTCTTCTTTAATAGCAATGGTGGTTGTTCTCGCTTCAGCGGCACATATGATAGCAATGGTGGCTAATATTTTATTGAATTTTTTTCTATGCCAAATATTTTCTCACTTTGTTCTCAGCTACCAAGATATGAGCCCAGTTGGCTCAGGCTCTGCCATTCCTTAACAGCTTTGTAGTGCCATGGTGTTTAGAGTAGTATGTGCTGTTGAGTCACATATCCACATTTGTTGATTCACGTCTTAGTTACGCCATGAAATCTTTGCAGCACTTCAGACAGGTTGCTTCCACGAATAAATCTAGTTCCCTTATTTGATAAAACAGAAATAATAACATCAGGTACCTCATAAGATTGTTGTAGGGCTTAAATAAGCTAATATTATCAAGAGCTTAGAAGAATGCTGGCATACAGTTAGTACTTAATAATTGCTGGCTATAATCGTCAGCCCTGTTGTTTGGTATGTGTTGTAGTGAACACTGGCAGTGCTCTGCTGAGATCTCCTCAGGTCCCTTGTTGGCTCTGCTCTCATCTACAAGTTTCTACATGTTTATTGCCAAGGATGGTGTCTGTTACCTTCTTGAGAGGACTACCCTTGGGTGGCTGGAGGTTGACATTTTGTCGGTGTCAAGGGGAAGTGTAAATAATGATGAGTAAGACAGAAGTGGAAGGAATGGTTTCACGGAAGAGGTAACACTTGTGCTTGGCCTTGAAATGTGAAAAAGATTTGACTTTGGCAGTTACATGTCAACTGCATTTTAGCTGTTTACCATGAACCGCAAAATTGCCTTCAGATCCTGCTAATGAGTTTCAGAAGGAAACGGGAGCCAAAGACAATTTTTAAGAATTATGATGATTACAGAGAAGTAACTGATATGGAAAGTTAGTAAATTGGACTTCGGAAAGCAGTGGATTGATTGTTTCTTTGTGTGTTTGTTTCAGTTGGTTATGCTTAAAGAAAATAGAAACATCGAAGAATGTAAAAACTGTGTCAAATCAGCGCTTTAGGCCTAATGTCCAACTGTGCACTACAGTCCACCTAGCCACTGAAGTGTGGCATTAATTTTTTTAAAGATATTTTATTTATTCATGGGAGACACAGAGGGAGAGGGAGAGACATAGGCAGAAGGAGAAGTGGGCTCCCTGCGGGGAGCCTGATGTGGGACTGGATCCTGGGACTCCAGGATTAAGACCTGAGCTGAAGGCAGATGCTTAACCACTGAGCCACCCAGGCATCCCAGTGTGGCATTAATTAAATTAGGACTGGTCTCTGGGTGTTTCTCAAGGTGCTCTGCACCCAGAAGGCACATGGCAAGCCTGATTAATTACCTCCAGGCTTGAACTGAAGGCTGGAGAGACGTGTCTACCTACTAACAGCATTTTAGGTTCACCCAGGAGGATCAAATGTATCTGTTTTCCTTCAGATCAAGCAGGAAGAAATGGTAGGAGATATCTAGGTTTCAACTATTACAGAGTGATTATGGAGTAGGAGTTTTTTTTAAATGTTCTCTGTCAAGAACAGATCACTTTAAGTGATGACTTTAATGCAGTGAAGAAAGAGGGAGGAAGTGAGGCTAATCAAATTGACCTATCAACAGTGAATGCAAATGGAACAAATATAGTTTGGAAGCACAAAATAAAGATCTTTGTTGGCCATTTTGTACCTTAGATTTTTCTAACTTTGGAAGAACTCACCCTAACACAGAAGAGGACATGGTTCATAGTATTCACTAAAAAATCTTGTTAACAAAATCTTACTTTACTTGATCTTCCACACCTAAAAACAAATACTGTTAAATGTCTACTTTGTGGTATTGGCCTATATAAGAAATCTTCAGTTTATAAATTTAGCAGTTCATTGGGGCTCTATTCTTACTGAGAAGATCTCATTTTCTTTTGGCCACAATGCATGAAAACATATCTGGACTTAATGTTCTCTTTGACACCTATTCTTGGGCCTGTCTCAGTAATGAACTCTGGGAGTTGCCTTATAGCATACATTTCTCTTTTCTTCCTCCCTACCCAAATCTTGGTTTTGCTCAGCACCAGCAGTGGATTTATAAAATATATTTGATCATCCCTTGACTAATATTCCTCTAGCAACTATCATTGGTCTGGAGGTAGACATGAGACCAAAGATGACCCACTCAAACATATAGCCCAGATTTGTGGAAGGTTCTCTTTCCCACTGGACATATTCAGTGAAACGTTATCGCTGTTGAGGATGAAAGCCAGCACAGTGATGAGGCTGAACCAAAATAATTACAGAAAATTGTTATCAACATCCTGATATACTAGAACCTGCCCCACTCCTGGGCTTCTTCCATAAGCAATATAATATATTTCCATGTTACCTATAGCGATTTGAGTCTGATTTTCTGTTACATGCAGCCCAAGGCATCCTATAATCTCCAGAGTCAGAAGTAATCAACATTTGTTGAGAACCTTCTATAGGCCAAATGCTATGTATTTATTATTGGAATAATAATGGTGAGCAGAGGGGCACCTGGGTGGCTCAGTTGGTTAAGCATCTGCCTTCAGCTCAGGTCATGATCTCAGGGTCCTGGGATCAAGCCCCGCATCAGGCTCCCTACTCAGCAAGAAGCCTGCTTCTCCCTCTCCCCTGCTCATTCATTCATTCATTCATTCATTCTCTCTCTCTCTCTCTCTCTCTCAAATACATAAAATCTTTAAAAAAATAAAGATGAGCAGAGACACTATATTAATGTTTGTTGGATCCATAAACATAAAGAAATTTGTAGTCATGAATCAGGCTTTGTTCATGGTGCAGACTAGAGGTCAGTAAACTTTTTCTGTAAAGGGCCAGATAGTAAATATTTTAGGCTCTACAGGGTATGCATTCTATGTTATGATTACTTCAGTCTGCCATTGTAGTATGAAAGCAGCAATAGACAATGTGTAAACAAATGGGTATGGCCAATAAAACTGTATTTACAAGAAACAGGTGGTGGGCTAGATTTGGCTCAAGGACTGTAATTTGTTGACCTTTGGTGTTGAAAACAACACCTTGGTAGATTGTAGCCTTGGGAATAACTATAGACACCTAAAAGCCTTGATAAGCCACCTTAGTGAGCAGCGGGACATTTATAGTCCAAGAGATAAGATGGAGTTGGACTAGAACCCATCAACTATCAGAGATAGAACATGGGCTTCTGC